CCCCAAAACCCCAAAACCCCAAAACCCCAAATAAACTAATAAAAATTGAAAATATTGGGATAATATGAAAAAGCAGCTTAGTAGTGAAGATATCATCAAGGTTCCTCCTCATTATCAGAAGTTGATCAAGAAAGCAAGAAATTTGGAGTTTTCTTTAGCTAAACTTGCAGCAATGAGGTCTAGGACCCCAGGCGATAGAGAAACCCAATCTGTATGTTTAAATTAATTTACACTGTATTGTGCTCTTCCCAAGGCTTAGTCAAAACTTTACTTCTTTAATCATTATGTCTATAGATAATGAATAGGCTAAAGGACAACAAAAACAAAGTTTAAAACTTTGAAGAAAATTGATGTTGGTATGCTGAAAATTATTAACATATTTCTTAAAGCATTTAAAATTTTACAAAGTTTATCGGATAAATTATTTATAGATAAAGCGAATGAGTCAAAATATTCTACATGTCTGAAGCAATCACATCTTAAAGTATCTATTTTCTTGACCCATAGGATTTGAAAATCAAGAAAATTACAAATTTTGTTAAGCCTCCGAACCCAGATTCAGACTCTGAGGAAGAAAGTCAGCAGGTGAAAAAGACAGTTGATCTTCCAAAGCCAATGATTAATCTTTCTTGTCACAACCCGCATCAGACTGAAGAGAAGGAGAAGTTTTATCAACTACTGAGCTACCTCAAGGATAACAATAAGAGTGTGAATGCTCGTTCTATTTCCTCATTTTCAAGGAAGAATACCGCCTTCTGAGCAAAGAGTTATATGTCAGAGTAAGTTTATCAAAGTTATGCTATAGGACCCAATATGGGGAGCCAACTTTGGGATCTCAATACCTCAGCTATTCTAAAGAGTAAACTGATTTTATAAATTATGTAGCCATAGAAAATTGAGAATTCCAAACCTAGGGAGAAATATTGGGAGTATTAGTTATCATAACAAGACTCAAGATTATTCTTTAAGAACAATGAATCTGAATTCTTATGGCCCTACTCTGAAGACCAATACTAAAAATAGTATCTTTTGAGACTAACTTTGTAGCACGATCTGGAAAGATTTCAGATTTCCCTCCTATTAAGATCCAGATGGGGAAAGATATTGCTCCGAATAAGTCTCTTTCTAGGAATTTTAATTCCAGTGTGGAGTCGAGAAGAGTTTCAGGAATAGATCAGAATCTTCTTCCAGTTCCCAGAGCTTACCCGTCTAAAGAAGAATTTAAGGTAATATTTGTATTAAATCGTAGAATATGAGCTATTTCATGTCTGAAGCAGGTCATAGCGAACTTATTTCCATCAGAGAAAACGCTGAATCAATGGGCCATTTAAGTCAAAGCCATTCAGAGAAAGAACTGGATACTGCGATTAAAGATCTTACCAAACATAACAAAATATTCATTAAGAAAGGAAATGTCGGGCTGATCAATCTGTTTAAAAATCCACCAGATCAAATCAAGGATAAGCTAGAGAAGAAGCTAAAGGTAGTAAATAATCTCAAGAGTGTTAATAAGGCTGTAAAATTATCAAAGAGGCAAGAACGGTTTCTTTTTGAATGAAAGGAAATACTCAAAACAGCGATTAAAACTTCAAATTTTAACATTTTCAAAGGTATAAAGCTTACCATCTCTGGAGATCTCTTCCTTGGAGAAATTTCTGAAGGTGAAGCTAATGGCTACGGTATCATCCTGACCAATAGAAACTCACTAATAGAAGGCACTTTCAGTAATGGAATAATTGAGGAAGGCAAAGTCAAAATTCTTTACCCTGATGGAGAAGTCTACATCGGGTCAGTCAAGAAAGGAGGTTGAAGGCAAGGTGATGGAGTCCATTACTACGCTAATGGAGATATCTACGACGGTGAGTTCCTTGACAACCAACGTGTTGGGAAATCCAGACTCAGATTTCACGATGGCAGTGAATACATCGGTCAATTCATTGAGGATACTGCTGATGGTCATGGGATATTCACTGATAAGGAAGGCAACCGGTACATGACTGTTGTTGAAGATCAAGGTAGCCATGTAGATGGATCAATCCACGACAAATCATTTGTCAATGGTTATTTCCTTAAGGGAAAATTATATGGAAAGGGAGAAATCAAGTACAAAAGCGGAGACTGCTATGTTGGTATGCTCAAAGGAACCAAGAGACATGGTAAAGGAATAATGACCCTAGTCACAAACAAACTTGGAACAGATCGCAACGATATAGGAGAATATGAAGGTAAATGGGTCAGAGACAAACGAGATGGTAGTGGTCGGATGATATATGCGAACGGAGAAATTTTTGAAGGCATCTGGAAAAATGACAAAAGGTTCAAAGGAGAGCTCACTGAATCTAACGGCCAAACTTACGTAGGAAGGTTCTATAACAACAAGTACCACGGCAAAGGTACTCTGACATTGAACAATGGGACTATCCTTGCAGGGAACTTCGAGAATGGAATTCTACTTAACCCCGCGACAATACAATACACTGATGGAAGAATTTATACAGGAGAAATATATGGTTTTGACATTGGTAGAAGAGGAAAACTATCTTACCCAAGAGGAGAAGTCTATGAAGGAACATTCGAAGATAAGCATAGAGAAGGTGAAGGAGTTCTACTTAGTGAAGATGGTAGCAAATATGAGGGCAGATGGAAAAACGATAAATAAAGATGGATTCGGGAAAGAATATAACGCATCTCTTAATGAATACTACGAAGGAAAATTTGAAGGAAATAAGAAAGAGGGCCTCGCTAAGTTTATAAACAGAAGAGGAGAGATATTTCATAGTGAATTTAAAAATAATAAGAAATCATCCAAAGATAAGCCGAAAGAAAAAATAGATAGGAAGGAGTATGCACGCTTTATCAAGGAATTTCTCAAGCCAAAAGAATCCACCCAGCCAATTGTAAGAATTCTGGCTTAATACTAATTTTCTGATTTCTCTAGTTCAGAATTTTCATGGAGGGTTAAGAGAATGAGGAGTTATGAGCTAAGTGGATTTTAGAGGGTAGAGGAAGTTAGAGGGATTGGGGAATTTGGGGGTTTTGGGGATTTTTGGTTGGTTTTGCTGATTTTTGAAATAGGGAATTGATGGAGAAGGAAGGGAGAGTGGAAGAAAGTTATGGACAGGTATGGAGTAGTGAATTGTTGTTTGAGTAGATTGCTTGATTTTGATTAATTTTGAAATTGGATTTTCAACTTATCTGATTTTTTTCATATAGAGCAGCTCTAGTCTTAGTATTGCTTCCGGGTTATTTTATAGAATCACCTCCAAGAATAATTCACAAAGAAATAACATTTTATCCCAGCAAATCTCCTTCTCCTCCTGAAAAGCATCGTGAAAACTTGAATGATTCATTTTTCGAACTTAGCAGTGTATTCAAACAAGCAAATACAAAGAAGGATCGAGGTAAGAAGCATCAGGCACCTGGCTAAATCAATTTCTACTCCAATAACCCCATTCCTCCTCAAAATCCCTAAAACCTGGCCCTCATCACAATATGCCAAATATCCCTTCTGTTTTCCATATAATCATCCTAACAATTTCGTTCCTGCATTAACCATCTGCTCTGATCAGAAATTCATTAATTTTCCTCTTGCTCCGCTCTGAAGCCTACTTCTAGATTCAACTTGTGAAGAAGTATCTGACCAGAGATATTTTAAAATACACAAGAAGATGCCATTTGGTACGAAGGAAGATCCATTCAGACAAGACTCTTTTAATATAAACCCACTTAATAGTGTCAACTCGTAATTTGTTCTAATCTTTAGAAATCTTAAGAACGTAATTGATAATATGGGACCTATGTCATCTGTTGTTTTCAAGTCGAAGAAGGAAAGTGAGAATATTACTCTTGGAAGAAGCAGAGTGTCTTCTAAAACTAGTTCTAACAAGTAAGTTAGTAATGCTTATTCCTGATAGAAATCAGCACACGGAATCTCTCCATGATATTTGAGAGAAGGAGGAACACTTTAAAAACGATGAATTAAATTCTAGCAATCATGTAATATATTTTCATCTAATTGTCTGTGTTATGAGCTTTAATTAACTTTAATGTATAGAAAACCATTGGAAAAATACAAACTCCAATTTTGAAGCCCACGACAACTCTCCAAATTCCAGATTGGTACTATCAGGCTAAGCAAGACTCACAAAGGTCTGACTTTGATAACATGCATTTAAAGCCAAGAGTTTCTTCATTAAAGAGTGCAAAGTCCAGCTTTACACCACAGACACCATCTATTCGTAAATCAACCAGTTAAGTGATTCTCCGTGCTTTCATGGAGTTTCATTTTGGGAGAGAATTCAATATTTTAAAGACTTTAAGGGGTTTTGGGGTTTTGGGGTTTTGGGG